ATGCATATACATACATACATACACATGTGTGTAATATATACATATATGTTATACGTACAACATATATACATATTTACATATAACATGTACATCATTGTGTTGTCTTATGCAATTTATTCCTAAAGACAAGTATATTTAACTTGCATTCTTGTCTTTAGTATGCCATTTTCTGAAGATGTAGTTATTTTTGTCAATTAATTTCATGTGAAAAAGCGGAGGTGCCAATTAAAGGCTATTTAGCTAATTAGTTTCTCTACCATTTAAGCTTATTTTCTTTAAAATATGACTTTTAAGGAAGATTTTTCAAACTCTCCTTTAGAAAACTGTATTCATATTTTATATAATTTAGAAATTCTTTTAACCTTATGAGACAAATATCTTCCACTCCAGGAAACCAGATATAAAGACCAAAATACCACATTTTCATATACATATTTTTTAAAAATAAAGTCATTCCTTTACCTTCATATCACTCTTTAAAAACTTCATTTGACAAGAGTTTATTTCATATAATGCAATTTAGCACTAGCAACTTCGAGTGAAATTCATTTACATACAAATAAATAACAATTTGAAAGAAAAACCCCATTGTTTAAGAACCAATTTATTTTATTAACAAGAAACTATATAGATTCTAAGACAAAACAAAAAATGTATATAATATGGTTCTAGAGCTGAATATTAAAATCTAATCTATCATGGTATGACATATTGACAACATTTGGGGATGTAATGTCTCCAGGACTTATTTATATTAGTTTTTACTTAATTTTAAACCAATCTATTTCTCCAGTTTAAAAAAAAATCTGATTAGAATATCACAGTTTGGATACATTCTCGCTTCAGCTAAATAAGAACATTTCAATATACAAGATGAAAAATAAAATAAATGTCTTAGACTGTGTGCCTAATGTGTCCACTGTAAATTTTCAAGATAGACTAACAATAGCTTTATTTTTAAAAAATGGTGAAATGTTTATCCATATCTTTGCATCCTAAAAAAAGGAAAGACATCTTTTAGTAATAATAGCTAATATTAATAAGAGCTGACATTTATAAAGCACTTACTGTGTGCCATGCACTGTGCTGAGCACTTTACAATTATGATTTCATTTGATCCTCACAAGAAACCTGGGAGATAGGTGCTATTATTACCTCCATTTTACGGATGAGGAAACTGAAACAGAGTTTAAATGACTCACTCAGGTGTTCACATAGCTAGTAAGTGTCTAAGGCTGGATTTGAACTCAGATCTTCCTGACTTCAAGCCCAGTGCCCTATCCAATGTACCACCTAGCTCTGGCTCACTGTTTCCTCCAGGATAAAATATGAACCCTTTAGCTTAGTTTTCAGGTATTCCACAATTTGGCCTCAGCCTATCTTTCCATACTTAGTTGATATCACTGTTCATGCTAGCTATGTACCAAAAGAATAGGGATACAAGCTGCTGACTCTACTTAAATATCATCTCTTACTTCCAAGAATGTCACAATTCAGTTTATATGCCTGGAATGTTCTCCTTCCTCCTCTCTTTCAGGATCCTTTGTCTCAGCCTGGGTGTCACCTCTTCTGCTAAGCCTACCCTGAACCTCTGAATTAGTTGCTTTGTATTTACTTAGGGTGGCAATTTTTTTTTGCTTTGTTCTTTTCTTTGTATCATCAGCACCTCGCACAGCACTAGGCACATAGGTGATCTAAGTAAATCATTGCTGAAGTGAAATATTTGTTTAATCCAAAGAATATGTGTGCATGTACTACACACACATTCACGTATATACCTTATTCACAAAGAAAATATATAGCACAGGAGTAGTGTGACTTATTTTTAATTATTTTTTTAAAAAACATGGCAACATTCTGCATTAGGACAATACAAAGAGAGTATTATAATACTCACAAAACATCAAATGAGACATTATTTGTAAAGCACTTAGCACAAGGTCTGGCATGTAATAGCTGCTTAATAAATGTTTATTCCCTCTCAAACTCATGCATCTCCCAAACTAATGCAATGCCTACACATGCAACACTTGTAGTTAGGGTGGGGAAGAACAGGATAGAGAGAGTAGTCTACTTAGTCAACCACCAGTTATGTGAAAAATACATAGGAGGTTTTAGTGGACCTGGAATTTCCATATGAACTAACAATATAACATGGATCCCAAAATTCTAATATTATTTAGACAACTTTAATAGATATATAGTGTCCAGAATAAAAATTTGATAATCCCCTTGGGATCTATCCTGGTCAGTCTACACCTACAATATGATATTCATTCGGGTAACCACATTTTTGTAAGGACGTTGCCAAATTTGAATTGACCAGTGATGGACACCTAGAATGTCAAGGGAGTTCACAACTGTGTCATATAAGGGTCATTTAAAGGGATTTCCAATATTTAACCTGGAGAAGGAAAATTTGGGGAAATAATAAGTATCAGAGGAATTGTTGTTAGACACTCCCCTCGACCCCAGAGGTCAGAACAAGGCCAACTGGTTTAAGTTATAGGGAGATATATTTCCATTTTTTTAACCAGACTGAAATTGCATTAGTAAAGAAGCTCTATGTGAGGAACTTCTATTATCAATACAAACTGGCACTCATTTTTCAACTTACAGCATTAATGAGCCTCCTCTCTGCACAGACATGAAAAGTCACTTGTATAGGGTCACACATTTACTGTATGTCTAAATTAGGACTTGAACACAGACCTTGCTGACTGCAAAACCAACTCTTTATCCACTACACGTGCTACCTCATCTTCAGATGAATATAACTAAAATTTCTATACAACTAGATTTGCTCAAAATTAGAACAGACTATATCTAATAATAGTGACTGATGACATCACAGGAAGTCTTTAAGCAGAAATTAGATGAATATTTATCAGGTATATGATAAATTTATTCTTCAGGGAAAGGTCCTGTTAGAGTGTGTGTGTGTGTGTGTGTGTGTGTGTGTGTGTGTGTGTGTGTGTGACAGAGAGAGAAAGAGAGAGAGAGAGTGTCCTCCAAAGTCTTTGGCAAATCTGAGATTTTATGTGTTCATGACTATCCTTGATTTTCACACTGTTCCTGGTATATTTGACAAAACACAGGTGTTTTATCCTCTATTTTTCCATACACATAATTTATCATTCAGACATTTCAGTCATGTCTGACTCTTCATGACTACATTTGAGGTTTTCTTGGCAAAGATACTGTATGAAGGAAAGATACATTTCCTTCTCCAGCTCATTTTACAGATGAGGAAACTGAGACAAACAGGGTTAAGTGACTTGCCCAGGGTCACACAGCTAGTTAAGTGTGTGAGGCTAGATTTGACCCAGCATTTTATTTACTGTGTCACCTAGCTACCCATAAACACATAGCTAAGTACTATTAAGGTATGATACCTTGAAATGGGGAGGGATTTCTAGATTCTGAAATGATACTGAGCTTGTGATTCAATAATGATATTACAAAGCAAAAAGCCCCGTTAGTACTTTTTTCCTTCTTTATGGCAAATAAAGATTGGCAAAGCTTCTAGCACAGGCACAGTATGTTCAAAAGTTTTTGATGAATTGATAGCACTACTGCCTAAAAAGAAGAGACTTTTGTATACAATCATAACAATATTCAGCATTCAGATGATCCCACAAAATGAAATTTTTAAGGCTATGCTTAATACAATATGCAATAGGTAGGCTGCTAGCAGCGGACAGAGAGTCTGCTGTGGAATCAGGAAGATCTGAGTTCAAATCTTGCTGCTGACTCATGATAGTTGTGTGAATATGGGCAAGTCATTTAATTTCTCAATGCTGGTCAACTCTTGAAGACTATAAGTGACAGAGAAAATAACAGTCCTGGATTGGTAAAGGGAATTTCTGCACTGATAATTCCCTATGACATCACATGTCCAGAGCCTTCCCATAAAGTTGATAGTGCCTATTGAAATGAAAAACTGGCAATTATCTCTCCATGAATTTAATAACTTAATAAACCAAATGAAAGAATTTAGATTTTTTTGTCAAATTCCCTTCATTTTTCAATACATGCAGACATACAACATTCTCATGATGTTGACAAATTTGAAAGTAATTGTTAGTTAATGTATGCATAGAGAATTAGGAAGATAGCATTAACCATAGAGAACATTTTGACTTTCCAATAAAACAGAAATAGAATTTTGTGTATGTAATGATACTTTATCAGCAATATTTCTTGATATAATTTGTGATAATTAAAATTTGTCTCCCCAAGGCAACATTCCCCTCCCCCAAGACCTTTAAAAAGTGTATAGTAGAAAAGCAAAATGTTACCCAAGAAAGATTTCTATTGCTCAAAAGATTTCCTTTTGTGATTAGATAGTCAATTATCCACATGAAGATTAAAACAACTCTCTATTACATAATAATAACCTTTTGTTGTCTTACAAATATGCCAGAAATTGCAAGTGCTTCATTCAAATCATTTTGCCCTGTTAATGATTTTAGTGATAAACCATAGGAGTTGGCTTTCTGATTATAAAAATTTACTTTTCCAGAACACTAGTTAAAGAGCCATTTACACATGAAGATTTACAGTAAAATCACTGGTGCCTTGGCCTACACTTGCTTAAAAACCCATATAAAGGGAGAAATGGACTATTCATTTTTATTTCTTAAACTTTCCTGCTAAACTCTTTGATACTTTTTTTTCATTTAGCATGGGACTTGGCTTTTTTAATAACTCTTAATAAAGGATCATTTGAGCCCAAACAAAGATGAAATACTGTAACTGAAGTGCACAAAGCAAAGTCTAGAAGGTTGCTTCCTTTACAGATTTCAAAAGGTTTCAGTTTCAGATCTATTACATAGAGACAGAACATGCTTTTTTAAAAGAGAATAAAAATAGGAGTTCCTAAACCAGAGCACAGCTTTATTACATCTTTAAAGAGGCACTTTTTTGTTTTTTAGAATATGAAAAATTCTCACTCTTTGAGCAGTACTGACAGGTATGTGTAAAAAATAATGACAAACTGAGAAGAGAAGTTATTTATTTTTCTTTAGCCAGCTGCCAATAAAGCAACTTGAAGGTCAACAAGTTAGAGGAAATGGAGGAGGAGCTAGAGGGAGGAGGAGAAGAAGAAGAAGAAATAAGCTGCTGGCTTTTATTCCAAACCAAATGTAGTGAAGCTCTTTTAGGTACACACATCTTCAGTCACAAGACCACCACATAAAGCTTAGCACTGCTCTTGAAATTGAGAGACAGCTTCAATAGGGAAAACAGTCTAATATCGACAGCCAACTACAATTTTTTTTCTTTAAATGAAGATATGAATGCTAATTAATAGGAACTAAGTTTGACAGTACACAAAGACATATGTCACAGAAAAGCCACTCAAAGGACTCCCAAACAAATTGCTAGTTGGGCAATACTGAGAAAAGGATTCATAAAGTTGAATGTACATCTCTTAACTAAGCAACTTCAAAAAGGTCATTGCCCAATAAGCTTAGTTTTTGAATCATCTAAACAAAGTAATTTCAAAAGGCATCACTATTATACTTCATCCATTCATTTTTAGATGTTTTAAGTAATAGAATCAACTATCATTTTTTTCCATGCTATAATCATGCAGCAGTGGAGCACTGTATATGTCCCAAAGTGGAGGTGGGGGGGAGGAGGATAACACTTGAATTTGAAATATATTAGAAGATTTACCATCCTGTTTACATTTCTTAGGTCCATATTAAAATGAGTTCACATTACTTGAGTGCACTGTTGCTAAGTGATAAGAGAAGGGGACTGGGCTATGTTTTCTAGAAATGGAAAGGTACCCCATGATTACAAAGTTAAATCATAGATGGCTCATCACAGGAAAATCTACACAAAAATTGTTGGAAGTTGACTTTACTTAGTTTGTTACTGTTGTTCTTTTTCCCCAAATTATAAAACTGGAAACTATGATTTATAACCTTACAGTGAATTGTGTAGAATACGAAACCTAAGGCTCCAAACTGTATGCCACATATACAAACATGTAAAAACATAGACATTCAGGGTCACTTAGCAGTACAATCATTAAATAAGAAATGAAGGGTCCATGATCCTTTATTTCCAAATCATTTAAGCATTAAATTATTAGCAGGCTAAGCTGAATACTTAATACAGTAATTGCTTTCTCTGTCACTGAAGAGAAATTGGCATTTTAAAAATTATCATTAATTCAGATTTACTAGCATTTCAAAACATACTTTGAATTGTACCAATTAATGTACTGGTATTCTTTTTATTCCCAAGGTATTGTCAAATACTTTAAAAATAGACTAATGTACCAAGGTATTATCATCTGAAATATTCCATGCAACTTGATTAAGTGATCAATATGAAAAAGAAAACTGCATCTATCTTTTCTGCTTGGGCTACAGTTCTGATATTTGTTTCAAATACTCATTCAGATGTCCAACTTAGGTGAGATTTGGGAAAGGTGACACTATGTGTAAAAGTATATAAGAGGGAGCAATAAAACTTTATTGTTTCCAGTTCCCAATAACTTGGTGAATTACTTTCTTTCTCTCTCTTCATTCCAAAACATATAGGTTTTATCCATTAAGCCCCAAATCCAAAAAAAGTGATAGGGACTGATTCTTTTCCCTGATAATAGGAATTTAAACTAAAAGAAAATATTGCCACCATATTGGAAGAGTTCCCTTTTAATGGTGAACCCCAAAGCTAGTTTAAGTCTATATCACCCACCCTAGCTTTGGTGATTTATCTATAACTCTGAGATTCAGTTTTTCCATTCATTCCTGTCCTTCTTCTGTGGAGACTCAAGTGGATGATGGAAACCTAACATTGGTCAATTTGAGAAAAATTCAGTTGATAAATGCCATTAAATATATATGTCAAGATTTGTTGTTCCTCTGAGGTAAAAAGATTTCAGCAACATGGCACATGTTCAAGACTATATTACAGATAAAATTACTATACCCTTAAACAATCTGTGAGAGTCTGTTTCACTACACCTGGTTTACATTGACCTTTAGTTGAAGTAGGTTTCAGCAGTACCTCATATGATAATCTATAACATCTCTAAGCACACTGAACAACTATCATGGGGTGTATGGATCCTTAATTAGGAGACCTCTCCTTTAGAGATCATTAAAAATATATATGTATTTTTTAATCAACCAGTTCACATGATTCAGAAATTAGGCCCTTGTCTGCTAGTGAAAAGTGTTGTGTTTAAAATTACTTGTCAAAACATTTGGCTTGTGTGAGTTCTCTTCCTCTTGGTTGATGAGATTTGAGAAAAAGTTCTCCAAGTATATTAAACAAAATACAGTGGAGGCTTGAGCAAAGAACAAATTGTGAAGACAGAAGTCTGAGAAGAGTCCACACTGTTTCTGAATTCTACATCTTAACTGAGAGGAAATGCCACTTCCCAATGCCCAAAGACTCATACATAAAACAGTTCAAAAGTTTGATTTACCTGCTCAACTGTAATCCTTTGTCTTGATAATACAAGGCCAGTGAGGGTCTCAGGGTATGTTTCCTGTAAAATGATAATCCCTAGATAGGAACTATGTTTACAATAATATTTCCCATGATATTCTGTTTACCTTTTCCCATGAAGAAATATATTAACATACTGAAAGAGAATCTCAGAGGAAAAGGATGAAGCAATCACTATGATAGCTGTAATATGGCTTCATAGGAAACTGGGCTACATTTAATTAGCTTTGATCTTTTTCATGTGTGTTTTACCCCTTTGGTTACAGTGTGGTGTGTGTGGGGGTGGGGGGAGGGTGACAGGGACTTAAGAGTCATCCTTTTCCAAACTGCATTGCTATCAAGACTAACAAAATTGAAGTGGAGCTTACATGGTATTTACAAACAAGTTGGCACTTACAGAATAAATTATTGATTTAAAAAAAAAATCCAACCCAGGACACCTATGTTTTAGGCACACTGGGAAAACCTGCTGCTTATTACATTATGCTACATTAATATGAATAAATAGATTCCCAGCTGGTACATTCTTCCCCAATGGTTTGCTTCTTGCTGAAAGGGAGTACCTTCCATTCTAATTTATTGGTGATGTTAATAGGTTCTTAGTCCAGAGAAAGTAAAGGCTGCATGTTTTCTTCCTCATTTTTATCCATGCGTTTTAGCACTGCAGGATCCACTACTGACTGAGATCTGTAAATAAGTAGATAGATAGATAGACAGATAGATAGATAGATAGATAGATAGATAGATAGATAGATAGATAGATAGATAGATAAAATAAATGGATTAATTACTTAATTAATTAAGCCATAGTGAATTGAATTATCCACATTACAATTTTCTAGCACATCTGTCACTTTCAAGTTACTGATAGTATTAAGCAGATGATGTCCTTCACTTCTGTGTCTTTTCTTTCTTTTAATTCCTCCATGTAGCTAATATACCCAAGTACCACCAAATCAAGAGATTATGGATATGAAATATGAGATTAAAGGAGATGCATGAGAAAGAAACAAATGGAGGCTCAAATTAGGCCAGTACAAAACAAAGTAATGCTATCAATTGCCTCCATCAGAACGTCAGCTCCTTGGATATATTTTTGTCATTGTATCCCTAGTTCTTACAGCATAGTGCTAGATTTAAATCTATCTGGAGCATGGAGTGTTAAGTAAAAAAGAGTTCTGTGCATGTGAGATAATTTGGAGATGCTGTCCATTTTCTAGATGCTTTTTTATATTTAGGTGAGGCCTGACTACAATTTTTTAAATGCTGTGAATTCTCAGGACAAACAAAATCTGGAGATGAAGTGTCATCACAGTATTAATGTAGTGGAGTAAAATGTAAAAAGAAAGGTTGGAAGGGGTCCAGTTGTGAAAAGCTTTAAGTGTCAAACAAAAAAAAAATTATATTTAATACTAGAGGTATCAGGGAGTCACCGGAGTTTGAGGAGGGTGACTTAAGCAAGCCTACATTTTAGGAAAATCACTCAGGCAACTGTTTGGAGTATGAATTGGAGTGGGGAAGTTAAGTCAAGGAAAACAATTAGAAAGCTATTGGAATAGTTCAGGCGAATAAAGGTGAAGGCCTAGAAGGGGATGTATGAGGGAGATGATGCAAAGATAGAAATGTCAAGATTTGGTAACCAATTGGATATGTGCAGTCAATGAGAAAGAGGAGTCAAGGATAACATCAAAACTATAAAACAACCAAAACAGAAGACAAAATTCTTAGTCTTAATAATTCTATAAAGCAAATAAAGTCTAAATGAACTTTCCTTATTATCCATAAATTCAGATATTCAATGTTACTGATCCTCATCCATTAAGATAAGATATCAAAATGTGAACACGATATTGCCATGAATTCCCAAATAGAATATGTAATGATAACAAAACTTAATATCCAGTGAATTTGTTTCTTGGAATTTTTTAAAGTTATTTAACTCTTATTTAAAAGTAACCAGTATCTCTTCTAGCTTGAGTAGTATCATTTTATTATTGGAGAAGCAATAATCTGAACAAGAGCCCTTTACATACACATAACTGTAGTAGGTGAGAATTATACTTCAGTTCATCACAGGGAAACAATGTGAAATTGGGAAGGAGAAAAGTCAATGAAACATGCTAGTGTTGTGGCAGAAAATGGGCTCCTTAATAGCTATAGCATTATCAAAGCAGCTGCCCTTTTAAAATTCTACCCATAATGATTTTTTTTCTCCCTGCTGCTATACCAGCCAATTGGATATTGCTGTGGTAATATGCTTCTTAGCAGACATCATTAACTTCAGATAGGAAAACTATAAGCTAAAGTACAGGCTAATGATGAAAAAAGCAGATGGCATAGCCATTTATAAACTGAAATCAAAACAAAACCCCCCAAAATGAATTAAATGATTAAGTGAACTGATTCAACACTGACACTAAGCTATATGTAAACAGGTTTTGAAAGCAGAGCAGAAGACTCCAAAGATAAGGGAAAAGGTAGATAGTCACTATTTCTAACTCATTTTTACTGTTTCATCTCAATAGCAAATAAGCAGTTGTCTCTTACTTCAGGACAGTGAATGAAGAAGTAGACAAGGTGACTAAGTAGAGATTGGAAACATTATAAGAAAGAAACGGTGCTTAGCTCAGTGCATAGTAGACATTTAATAAATGCTTGTTGACAGACATTTATGCCTTGGCCTCAGATGTTTTAAGCAAAGATAGACTATTTGCCTATGTTAAAAGATGATAAATAAAAATCATTAAAACAAACAAGCAAACAACTGAAACTGAACTCTTTGAAAAACGGGATATACCAGTTTCTTTTAGTAATGTTCAATTGACTAGTGGATTGTAAGCCAGTCAGTTAGGGAGACCTAACTTCAAATCCTGCCTCTTGGAAGTCACAACCTCACAGTGCAATAGTACACACACACACACACACACACACACACACACACACACACACACACCCACTTGTTTTCTTCACCAGTAGAATGTAAGCATCTGGAGAATAGGAGTTGCTTCATTTATTTGTTTTTGTACTTTGAATACCTGACATCAAGCACAGTGCCTGGCATATAGTAAGCACTTGATAAATGCTTATGGATTGATTAGTTTCTTTATAATTTTCCATTGCCTATGAAGGCAGGAGTTTCTAAACTAGAGTTGCTGGTGTTGATGAAATCACATACTGAACCCAAAAAAAATCAATTAAGTACAATGTGGTGTGAAAATTTATGAGTCCATCTGAAATTGAAGAATGAGACCATTTACTAATAATATCTTGATGTATTTAAAAATTATTAACCCACTGTCCTGAAGGAGTTAATGAATTTCTCAAAGTTTTTAATTTTCTCTTAGTGTATTGCTGATAAAATGGAGATCCTAGATCCCTAGTGCTATTTAATTTACTAAGTATTGAGAATGTAGGAAGGAAGCTGTTTAAAACAAATATCTATTGGGCAGTGAGAAAATGAAAGAAAAGACAGGTAATGAACATGTACAGTAATGTATTTATGTTGAAGGATGTTCTTGTACAAATACACAAATACACCAAAATGGAGTGCCATTTGGAGCCTGCTTATAGCACCACATGAACTTCTATAAAGTCCTACTATGACACCTCATTTTAGCATAGACTTGCCCTTGTTTTCTTATAGCCTATGCCTATGTATTGAGGGCAAACAATGGAAGTTCCAAGTAAGCAGAAAAGGTGGAACTGGCAATAGACCATTTGTCATCAACGACAATGGAAGTACTATTTAAGTGTGGACAGACTCCTCATCAGAAGGCTAGTCACAAGCTAAGGATCTGGGGATGGGGGGAGGGAGCCACAATAACTCATGAAGACTATCTACTGAGGAAAGGTTCTGAGAATCATTGCTAGGAGAGTGCCCTCACCAATGAAATTATGTATCCATGAAGCACAGAATTATGATATAGTACTTTCAAAAATATTTATTATTTTTAAGGTTATATCTTCTTTATCTCTTTCTCTCAACCTCTGAATGTATATAAAGATGGCAGCTTTACCATAATAAAAAAAATTAAAGGCAGACTGTGATTCTGTTCTTAATCTGATCTCATTATGCACTACAGATGTCAGAATTGGTTTTGAGTTGCTGTGAACCACTGCAAATGTAGAACATCTCCTAAATAAAACAAGTCAGGCATAAATTGATTATGGGCTTATGTCCTAATCTGAATATTATTTTGGTTCCATTTCTCTTTCACCCCCTAGAAACTACAGATACCGACTCAGAGTCATTAACTGCCATTCAGCTAGATCTCTGCAAGAGAAGAGATAGACTGTTTTTTTTTGTTTTTGTTTTTGCTAGGCAATGGGGTTAAGTGACTTGCCCAGGGTCACACAGCTAGTAAGTGTTATGTGTCTGAGGCCGGATTTGAACTCAGGTCCTCCTAAATCCAGGGCCGGTGCTCTATCCACTGTGCCACCTAGCTGCCCCTAGACTGTTTTATAAGATGGATAGACATAAAAAGTACCCAAGCAGTCCCTGATACTTTGCCATTAACAAAAGAACCCTCTATGAATGTGTGTCTTAGGAGTCTAGAATTCAAATATAAGACATGAGATCCACAAATGTGCAATGGAAGGCACCTCTTTGATAATTTGCATGAAGTGAAAAGTGTCTTTTTCCCACTGATCTTCTGAAATCTACATAAGCAGAGAATGAACTACAACTCCCCAGCTGGTAGATGAATGAGCTGCTCTTAATAATGGTAATGAATAATAATAACTCACATTTCTATAACAGTTTAAGATTTGCAAATCATTTTCTATACATTATCCAATTTGATTCTCACAATAATCCTATGAGATATATAATATTATTCTCCTCATTTTAGAAATGAGACTTAGCTGGCTCATACATTTTGTGCATAGTCATACTGTTAGTAAAGTAGCCTAGATAGGATCACATCTAGGTCTTCCTAACTCAAAGTCTAGTGTTCTATACTCTATGTTACACTGTCTCCATATCATCTTAGACTAACCCAAGTAGAAAAGTTGGTAGAAATACATACTTTCACATCCCATTTTGGAGATTCATGGTACTTGCCTCAAAGTAGGGAAAAAAAATCATGTTACAGACTAAGATACTCATCTTTCTGTAGTTCCCAAAGAGAATATCATCAGTGTACAGTAGGGCTGCCATGTGATGAACACACACACACACACACACACACACACACTGAAGCAAAAAACTGCTTACAATGTATAGCCAAAATTTTAATTTATACAGTGATGCTCCACATTACTTCTGACATACCTCTTCATGGACTTTGGAGATAGTTCTTTTTCCACTTCTTTCACTGGCATACTATAGGAGTCCACATTGTACTCACTGTCATCATCATATTCGTGGTCTAGTAGCGTTCTTGCCCATGTACCCATATCATAGGGGGGTAGCATTCCTCCAAATTCAGAAGGTAGAATCTCTGGATGAATGAGTTGATGCAGGCTATTCAGGTTATTTCCATGTAGAAATATCTATATTTTAAAGAGAAAAAGAAGTCATCCAAAACATAACTCATGAATGAAAGAGAACTACATTGGCTAAAAAGGAATAATATAGCACTGTGACAACAATTTGTCATAACTGCTGTTATGAAGATGAGAAGCCCCTTTTCAAGGCCATACCTTGCCCAAGGTGCTAGAATATATATGCTATTCTGATCTGGGAAAATCCAAAAGTGGGAAGGAAATATCATGTGTACCAGAAACAAACCCATGGGCCAAGCCAACATTCAAAATGATGATTTGTATGATATACCCTACTGACCTTTGTTGAAAATGAGCCCGCTTCACAAAGGACTCAGCAACTGGACATTGCCAACCCATATATTAAGCCTATAAGTCGACACTGGTATAAAACATTTCTCCTGACTGCTACTAAGAGTGCCTTGCCCAAAGCAGTTCTAAATACTGTTCTACAATGCAAAATGAGAGATAGAATCAAAATCTAATGTTTGTGAATTCCCTCAGTATGGGTAGCATTTTATATTACAAGGAACTTGATCATTCCAATGTTTCTAGGTGCCTTTTTTACTACAGATTTCCAGTGTGTCACATTCAAAATACTTGAAATACAGGTCTTTAAAAATATTCCTATAAACATGGAAACCTGAAGAGTCATTCACATTCTCAGAATTGTCCCCATACCACTATCATTCCCCAGGATTGCTATAATCTTCCATTCTTTCTCTTCTCAAACACTGCCCCACCCCCCGACCCAGTGGTCCTCATCATCATTGGGACTTGAGGCAATATCTGATTAAACCTTGTCCTTAATTAAAAAGAGAAATACAAAAATTAACTGTGAAAAGATAAAACATAAAATAAATGAAAGGCTTATCTTAGACTATTTAGGGATTAGTTTATATTGCTTATATTTTATAGTCAGAGACATCTAAGGATAAATTCATAAGAGAAAAAAAAGGCCATCTGCTGCCCCCTTAAAATTCAATGAATGTTAAATTAGAAATAGGAAACGTAAAAAGATAATATTTTAGATAATTTGTTCCAGTCTATAACTCTGTAACTAATTCCATCTGCAAGTGATCACTAAAAATGCATTTCAACTATTCCACCATTTAATTTGTTTATAATATGCAAACTTTTCCAAAATTAATTAGATCTTTCAAAAATATTCTTCATGGTTTGCATCTTAATATTGAGAAAGATTTAGTAATAAGGTTCATAGTCCAGAATCTGAAGAGCAAATATTTGGATGGTATTTTGAAGTTTTCCTTAGCTTACCAGCATACATGAAAATAATAAGTGACATGACACACAATTACATTCTCACATGAAGTTTTCCAAATTAAACAAATTTTAATAGAAGAATGAGGTTCTGGTCTCTTTTTTGAGCCTGGGCTAGCATCAAGTTCCTATACAGTAAGGTCCAGCTAGAATATCTCCTAGTCTTCTCTTGGCTCTGTGTTTCAACAATGAAATGAACAAGAAGGGATTGGTACACTATACACACTGAAAGCTGTTTCTATACAGTACAAACAAATTAAACTGCAAAATATATATATATATATATATATATATATATATATATATACATATACATATATATTTCATACCACAAAAAAAAATCAGGTCCATCTGAAATGAAAAAAAAATTATCTTGGAATATTTTATTTGAAAATTAATCAAATTATTTCCTCAGTTCTAGACTCTGTTAAAATCAAGTGTAGCCTAAAATTTCCCTGGCCAAAAGAAGCATAACAGTAACTGCAAGAGCATTCATCAGATCTTAATACTGGAATGGATACTAGTACTACCCATATCCCCACTGCTTTCCTTTCTAGGAGTAAATCTGAGGTGTGGACTAATGCTTCAACACAATACATAAGTGATATATGTGTGCATACATATATAACTACATGTATACATACTAAATATGTGTGTGTGTGTGTGTGTGTGTGTGTGTGTGTGTGTGTGTGTGTGATAAGCTAAAGGCAGCTAGATGACTCAGTGGACAGAGCACTGGACCTGGAGTCAGGAAGACCCGAGTTTAAATCTAGCCTCAGACACTTACTAGCTGTGTGACCCTGGGCAAGTCACTTAACCTCTGTTCACCTTAATCCACTGGAGAAGGAAATGACAAACCACTCCAGTACCTTTGCCAAGAAACTCCATGGACAGTATGACCCACAGAGTTACAAAGAGTAGGACACAACTGAATGACTGAATAACAAATATGATAAGCTTCTCTCTCCACTATTCGGGGACGCAGAGAGGAAAAAAGATGAAAGAAGTGTCCCTAAGGTACTGAATAGTCCCATTTTCTATTCTGAAAAATGATTTAATTCTCTTTTCATAGATGTTGAAACCATTCCTTACATAACTGTGACAGTTCTCACAAGATTCTGACTGTAGCAAATACTGTTCTCTATAACAACATTTCTAATAATGTACTATTAATAACAATAAATTTATATAGGATTTAGATTTTTGTAAAGTCTTATACATATACATCCTTATTTAATTCTTATAAGAACTCTGTGACACTTGTTCTATTATCTAATCTTTACAAGTATATAAACTAAAATTAAAAGAGTTTAAGTAACTTGAAGATTACCCAAATACTAAGTGACCAAGGAAGGATTTGAACATAAGTCTTTACTGACTGAATTCCATGTTCCATCCACTATGACACAATGCTCTTTTATACTGCATATTATAACTTTTGTTATTATAAGTAACTGACACCTTTGCAAGTACCTGGAACTTTGATATCCATGGTTACACTGAAACACTGTCTTCTTAGTACTCAAGAAAAGAATAAAGTACACTCAGTATAATTGCAATATTGCATACTGAAAATTAGCAATCCGGTAACAGAATTTTATTAACCAAAAGATTTTAATACCAATAGAAACCACAGTCAGGTAGCTCAGAATATAATTGATCTTGCCAAGTTATATCTACTTTAGGAAAATAAATAAGTAGATATGTATGGATACATATAATAGGTTCAATACCCTTTATTTTACTTTGGGTAGACTGATAGCAATATGGTAAATTAAATTATATTTTAAAAATGTAAATATCAGCAAAGTGAAAAGGAAACACTAGGATAGTCAAGATTCCTAGACCAGGGGCAGCTAGGTGGCTAAGTGGATAGAGCCCTGAAGTCAGGAGGACCTGAGTTCAAATCCAGCCTCAGACCAAATACTTGACACTTACTAGCTGTGTGACCCTGGGCAAGTCACTTAATCCCAATTGCCTTTTAAAAAAAAAGATTCCTAGACCAGAGTCTGGACCAGTAGTGGGGAATCTGAGGACCTGAGGCCACATATGGCCCTCTAGGTCCTCAAGTGCAGCCCTTTGACTGAATCCAAACCTCACAGAACAAATCCCCTTAAGAAAGGATTTGTTCTGTAAAGCTTGGACTCAATCAACAGCCCACACCTAAGACCTAGAAAGCCATATGTGAGCTCAATGCCTCAGGTTCCCCACCCCTGGCTGGGCTCTGCAGCAGGTAAGCTGTGAAAGTTGCGCTTCAATTTTCTTATCTACAAGGGATTTGACTAAACCATCTCTAACATCCTTTCCAGCTCTAACATTCCATGCTTTCTCTAAAATCTTAGAACATGAAAGATATTTTGTTTGATCAGAATTAGATATGGTTTATGAAATAATATTTATAGAAATGTATCTTGCTTTCCTTTAGAACACAGGAGAGTTATTTTTGAAATGTTACTTACATACATAAATTCTTCAGCATGAATATCTGAGCTTAAGGCACAGAGTAAAAAAAGACTGAAAATATCAATTTATAACAAGTATGTAAATAACCATATATTTTGCATTAGCCTATTTTTTACATTAACTTCATGTTATGCCATTCACAGAGTGAATAATATTCGGAAAGAAGAAATATTTAGAATACCCTTTTGCGTGTCTTCTCCTTTAGGAAAGGCCGTATGACAGTATACAGGGCATGGATATACCAAGGCTGATTGACAAAATGAATTCCTCCAAATCGAGCTGGAAAACTGTCCTGCAGTATCACACAAAACAAATTGAATGCATATTTTATTATTCAAAGCAGGTTAAGTAATTCAGTTCACTAAATATTGATTAAACAACTATTATGAGCATAGCACTATACTAGGTGGTGGGGACACAGACAAAAAAAATAGTCCTTTTCCTTAGGCACTTACATTCTTTTGAAAAGAAGATGCCTGTTCTAGATAAATTTAATTTCTTCTGAAGTGGTTTACCTGCCTATTAAAAGACAAGAGTAGTAAGAAACTCACCTTACTGAGCATTGTCACTGTCAATTAGCAATGAAAGATATCAAGAAAGTGTCCTCAAAATCAAATAAATTCTTATAAATTCCCAAAGGTCAAGAAGTGTGGCATTTTAAAACCTAAAGTTCCTAAGCAGTCAGTCGTTATAGGTTATGAAGCATAAATGAAGAGCATTTGAAGTATTTCTACAATGCTGGATGTGTAGTTTTGTTTTGTTTTACCTTGACATATCAATGTATTTTACTTCTAATATAAGCAGGAATCTGCCACATGCTAAGCACCTGAGTGGACATTTTAGAAGTTGTCTTTTCCTCTTTTCAAGCTTAAAAATCAAAACATTAAATACAATGTGCAAATAAAATTTAAAAATTAGAACAATTTTAGGAGGTTTGAAAATGCATTTCCATATTAATGCGTATGTATGTATATAATTGAAAACATATTTTGACACTAATGTACTCTTGTTGGAGTTGTGAATTGATCCAAACATTTTGAATAGCAATTTGGTACTATGCCCAAATATGAAACAGTGCACACCCTTTGCTCCAGTAATAACGTGACTAGATTTGTATCTCATATATTTTTTTAAAAAGGAAAATTACCTATATACACAAAAAAATATTTATAGCGGCTTTTTGTGGTGTAAATAACTGGAAATTAAAGGGATATCCATCAATTGGGGAATGGCTGAACAAGTTGTGACACATGATTATGATGGAATGCTATTGTGCTATAAGAAATGATGGGGGGCAGCTAGGTGGCACAGTGGATAGAGCTCCAGCCTTGGAGCCAGGAGGGTCTGAGTTCAAATCTGGCCACAGACACTTGAATTTTACTAGCTGTGACCCTGGACAAGTCACTTAACCCTGGATGCCTTACCAAAAAGCAAAAAGAAAAAAAGAAAAGAAAAAGAAAAAGAAATGATGAGCAGGATGATTTCAGAAAAACCTAGGAAGACTTACAAGAACTGATGCAAAGTGAACTGAGCAGAAACATGAGATCATTATATATGTATATATATATGCATATATATTATATACACATATATGTATATATGTATACACACACACACACACACACACACAGAGTAACAGAATATTGTAAGATAATCAGCTGTGAATGACATCTATTCTCACCAATACAATGATACAAGACAATTCTAAAGGACTCATGAAAAATGTTATCCACCTCCAGAGAAAGAACTGATGGAGTCTAAATGTAGATCAAAGCATACTTTTTTTTTAAACTTTATTTTTCTTGGATTTTCTTTTCTATTTTTTTGTCTGTGTTCTCTTTTGCAACATGGCTAATGTGGAAATATGTTTTGCATGACTGCACATGTATATTCTATACCAAAGTGCTTATCTTCTCAAGCAAGGGGGAGGGAATTTGAAACTCAAAAATTATCTTTAAAAATTAATGTTAAAATTGTTTTTACATGTAATGAAGGAAAATGAAATAACATTCTTCAAAAAGAAAACATACATACATATGTACAATGTGCCCAAATTTACTTATTAGAAGGACTGGTAATTGCTAATTGCTAATTGTCAGTGACAATGCTCATAAAGCAATTCTCCCCTTTAGCTAAAATGAATATTAATTAGGGCAGAGGAAATACTTTTTCTTCATCATCCAAAGAGTCATGTAGTGCATCCTGCAAAATATCAAAAGAATTCTTCAGCCTATTATAATAGCACATAGATATACACCATTTTCTTTAAATACTCTGAGAGTTGTATGGTAGCGGGCTCTCAGAAGTCCAACACCTCAGAGCTAAATTAGGTACCAATGTTTTTCCCTGACAATTTCTCCATAGACCTGGTCCAGGGGAATTTCTGTTAGAGGGCAACACTCTAATTTAATGTTCTATTTAAATCTACCAAGAGTTTGAACAGAAACAAAAATAAATTAATAGGAAGAGTAATGGGCATGGAAGTTTTTATGATTATCATTGTCTTGTTCTTGTCTTTTTGTTTTTGATGGGGGACAACAATAGTCCTGGGACAAGTTTCTATGTTAATAGAAACAACAATGTTAATAATAACAACAATAATTTCTATATACTACTGTACACGTGAATATTTTTTTCTAATTGGCTAAAGTTCTGACATAGAAGATCATCCTGTGAAGGCTCATGGGAAGCATGTTACATACAAGTACAGTAGTAGACAAGTTAATAGGGATGATATTCACCTCATTCTGTTCCCACAATTTTGATCTTTTGTCCTGTCTCTATATTTTTGTTGAATTTTTAAAAAATTGATAAACTTTTATTCTCTCTCCAATCCACTTTCTTACCCTCCCCTGCAATTAAATAAAAACTAAAACAAAATTTTCACAATAAATATGTATAGTGAAGAGAAGCAACTTCTTTTATTTGACATATACAAAATTACATGTCTCATTCTGCACTTCGAATCCATCATCACTCAATGAGAAGGTGGGCAGCATGCTTCATCTTCAGCCCCCTGGAGTCATGGCTTGTCATTGAATTGATCAATTTTAAAGTCTTTCCAAATTATTTTTCTATATAACATTGTCACTGTATAAATTGATCAATCCTTATGTTTACTTCATTCTACAATAGTTTACACAAGTCTTCCCAATTCCAACTAAAACCACCAATTTCATAATTTATGTTGTAATAATATCCCATTAAATTAATATACCATAATATGTTTGGTCATTCCTCAATAGGTCAGCACTCCCCTAAATTCCAGGGCTTTTTTTCCTTCCTCTTACAAAGAGAGTTGATATATAAGGGTCACTTTCTTCTTTCTTTGATCTCTTTGGTATATATGCAGGGGTGTACTGGTACATGTTTTACAAAGAGCTCTCCGAAAACTGTATGCATAATGTATTTTTAAGTTTAATCTGCATTATTAATGTTTTCTTCATCAATTCTTAAATATTCTAGACAATCAACAAAACAATAAAGTAAGGCCTGATTTATGAGTTGTAAATTTCTGAATTATAAATACTCCTATTGCGATTTTAACAATCTGATCTCTGACAAGCCAGTCTCATTGGTCTCTAGCACATCCCTGGAATAGCTGAAAATTGCTTTCCAGAATGTCAGTACCAATTTACAGTTCCATCACCAGTGCATTGATGTGCCCGCTTCCCTACAACCTCTCCAACATGTGTCATTTTTTCCTCTTCTGTCATCTTTGCCAATCTGATGGGCATGATGTAAAACTTCAGAAAGTATTGATTATTCATTTGGTTTTAATAGCTTAAGTGTCTTTACTTGAGAACTGCCTTTTGATATCTTTTGACTCCATATCTATTAGCAAATAACTCATTCCTACAAATTTAAATCCATTTCTTAAATGACTTGGATTTATATTAGTAGGTCTATAGTGTGAAAGCACTTCTTTTCATGCAGCGTGGAGAGTATGAATATTTGGTACAATGATATACATTAAAAACATTAGGATGAAGTCTCATGGATCAAAGTTATGCTCCAATGTTATGTCACTGTCTTTGAGAATGATTCAGCTACAGTTTGATTCCATAATCATCATTATTATCATCATTTTTGTTATCATAAACAGAATTCACACATTAGGTACAGGTTACACTAAATGCCCCTTGAGGTCCCTTCCAATTCCAAAGTTCTATTAGTCTATGATTTTCTCTTACTAAAGCTACATAGTAAAATCTAGTTAAAATCTTGTTATGGTGGCATAAGAGCAAATATTTCTATATTTTGAATAATTTTCTAAACATTAATTAATTTTTAAAGGTTTAACGCATGACTTTCAGAGCTCATGGATCTTTTTTACAAGATAATTTTTATCCCAGGAAGCGTCACACTATAAAAAGCAAAATGAACAGTGTTTCAGGAGAATAGATAAGAATAGTGAACACTAAAGAAGCTTTCCCTTTGTTTCCAAAGGTAGCCTGATTTTTTTTAAAGAGAATTCAATTTCTCATTTCTCAAGAATTACATTACAATGTCAGGTATATAATATGAAAATGGAAATTTTGTCATTTTCTTTGATCTGCTCTTGATATAGTATTTGATTTTTAATAAAAACATATAAATATAAAAAAGGTCACTGGAGTTCTTTCAGATGATTGGCTATAGGCTATGTAACATATGAGTTTTGGGAATAGAAAGGGAAGGGGCATGTTCATAGTCAAATAAAATGCCACAAGTTCCTTGGAAATTACATCTCCAGTAAGCATGTTTAATAAGTTAAAATGTGGTGTTGTTTAGCCAGCTATGATGGTCTCGCAAAAAGAGGCTAGCGAGGAATAGATTTTTTTTGGATGGAAGGGACATAGTGGGGAAGTGACAGTCAAAAGGCAATTAGACTAAAGGTTGGAATCTAAATGGGATGGGCAAATAAGAACAGGCAGGAAATCACATGGTGTGGTGTCAGTAATTAAATGGCATATATATGTGAAACTCAGCACATCCAAGAGGTTCTGTAGGGTCCCCTACAAAGTCCTATGAATACTTGAGGTAGTTCACTTCCCTTTCATTGAGGAGAAAAGGAAAGATTAAATCTGAGATGGAAAATCCACCTGTGCCTCCCTCCTGTCATGGTGAAGAAAGAAAGGGAGAGTGAAAAGGGAGTAGACTTGCAACCTCCAGTCCCAGATGTTTTTGGAAAGAGTAGCCTTAGGAAATGGCACTGAGAGTGTTTGCTATTTAATTATCGCAATGTATTATTTACCACATGTATTTTAAGTAAATCTCTTCTCCATATTATGATGTCAATATGCTTGATTT